ACACGTCCGTTTTGCCAAGAGGATGACCTGATTCCTTGGCTGCTGGCATACATGGTGCCTGTATTTTCTAACTAGGCAAAGCAGTAGCTCAGGCTGGGGAGCAGTCATTTTTGTTTGATTCAACCATGATATGCACAACAGCCAAGGAGTCCTTGCAGGCCCCAGCAATGAGGCCAGCCGGGAGCGCAGTTTTGTTATTGTAGCCGGAGGCCCACTTCCAATCCAATTACACACAACAGCTGTGCTAGCTCCTCTTTTCCATCCCCTTTGCTTCCTCTGCTATGTAATTCCAGGATAGGTTTTGTCATTATCGGGGTCAGTGAGTCACGGTGAGTGGCACCTACTCTGAGTGATCAAAGGAATAAGAGCATGAGGAAGAAGCCAAAGAGAAAGTCATTTACCCCAACATCTATGGGCAGAAACAGTGATCAAACCATACTAACTCCTTTCCCCCATGGCAAAAACAGTATTCTGACACAGCACATGGCATATTCCTAGAAGTATTCACATAGGGAGGGCTACAAACATGGTGGTGTTCGAAAGCATGAAAATAAACATGCAAGTGCTCGCAAAGACAGCCACACGCACAAGAGAAGGTGTGCAGGGAGCAAGACCTGAGGGTGAATGTTTTTTATGGCTGACCCATAAGAAGATGTGTTTCACTGCAAATCAGAGCACCTGATCGAGTAGGTGCACAAGTTGGGAAAAGAAGAACTGTTAGGCATGGAATAGAATTCTTCAGCTTGGAAAAGACATCTCTGACAATATATATGATAGAGGTAAAATCCCAAATAATACAGAGCAGGTGAACAGGCAATATTTCTTTTTCCTATTTGTCAGAATACAAGGAGTAGGAGTCACTGAATGAAATTCTCAAGTAACAGGTGTAAAAACAAGTGAAAGAAAGTAGTTTCCACATTTGAATGATTAAAAAATGGGACTTGTTATCACAGGATACTGTGGAGTTAAAAAATGTAAGTGGATTAAGAAAAACAAAGACTGGACATGTCCAGAGAAAATACGTCCATCAATGACTGTACAACACCATGATCTGGATGCAGTATCAGGTCAGAAAGTCCTTAAAAAAGTGACAACCAGAAACCACAAAGGTATATCAGGACAAGATCAATGCTAATGTAGTTTCTTAAACTTCTTCCAAAGCATCTACTTTCATAAAAAGACGCTAGATGAATTCTTGCTCTGACCCCAGTGATCGCTACTGCCATATTGTTGCAAATCGTTGTGCATGGAGCTGAAAAACATTCACATGTCAGTGCAAGAGAATCCGATTTGGGGACAGTGCCTGTGCAAAGGGCATGCAAGAATGAAAACAATGGCGGCACCTACAAAGAAGAACGTTAGCCTGTACAAACTGGTTTCAAACACCTGTGTGAGAGGCACTGAAGATACAGCATGGGTGGATTCTTACTCTGACCTAGTACCTTCTGCAAATAGGAAACTTCAGATGGGCTGAAACACAATTCACGCATTTTCATGCCCAAAAAGCAGAGTTCAGCTTCAAGGAAGCAGAAGCCAGCATACAGGTACTGCTTAAATGACCCTATGACGTGGAGTTAGGGAGACAGACTAAAACAGTAGCCCTGAGATGAAGAAGGGAAAGAAGCATTAAAAGATGGAGTTTGAAGGATTAAAGACCTGGATCAAAAAAGTGCTAGTATGCTTGCACCTTCAAGGATCTCTGTATCCTTATGAAGGATTTGTTCAGGCAAACAAGGACTAATTTTCCTCAGGGCCCCAGCTAACTAGGTCATTTCTACTGGGCTGTGTCCATTCAGTTACATGCGAACTCTAGTCAGCAGTAAAATCATGACAGCAAAATGCCCAGAACTTCATCTCAGCCTCCTCCCCATGAACATCTGCAGATCTCTCCCACAAAGGGGGTAAGTGTGGCACGAATAGGAAAAGAACTATTTAAACTTCGACACCCCCCAAGTATCAGTACCAGTCAGCATAATACCAAGGACACATATTTAGTTCTTTCTCCTGCACATATTCTTCCACTGAAAAAAAATAAGTGAGACAGGAGCATATCACTTGCTCCTTGATCTACTGGTCTTTTCCCAACAATTTGTCTTTCAGAACCTAGACCACTGGCAAAGAGTAGAAGGTGCAAAGAAAGGGACAGATATTGTGCAGAGGTGACAGAGGCATCCATTCTGATCTGTGCTGCACACCACTCCCCAGCCAAGGCACTTAACCTCTCTAATAAGGCTCTGAACCTCCATAATGCTCAGCCCAACATCTCTATGCATGTTGTAAAGGTAAGGTGAGGCTGTAGCTATAGCCCCAAAGGGAAAACTCAAGTACTGAAAGAAGAAATTATTTCTCCTCTGCACGACATAGCGAGTCAGTGACGCAGCTGCGTACAGACAGCAAAAGTCCCAACTCCAGGGCCCTGCTTTAAATACCTGACTTTGCTGCTTACAGTGTGGTGGTGTTTTGTGATCAGGGACATAATATTTGCAGGGCAGCTGGGCTAACATCTGACAAACTCCTTTCACTTGTGAAATAAGCCAGATGGGATCTTCAGTTGGCTCTTGAAAGGAGTGTAGCACACCAGCCCCTGTTGCCAGAGCACCCCTTCTTCACAAGCAGAGACCTCGCAGCCAGGGAAGGCTCATACTACACATTTTTGTTTACTTTGAACAAGACCAACTTCTTTGCACCTTGCAGGAACTGCGCCCAGCAGACCCCTGTGGTCCCCATTGCTGCCAGCCCCAGCCTGTTCATAGCTGCCTTCCCTTATTGGGGAATCAGTTCTCACCAGTCTATTCAACAATAAAAAATACTCAGTTAATCAATGGGCTCTTTACAGCCCTTCTGCTGCCTGTGGGTAAATAGTTAACACTACCTCATAAAATCCCTAATTTGTCTTGCAAACAGTGGATGGTTAAAGTAACCATTTTGACAGGGGCCCTGGATTCTGTCCTCACATTACAGATAGCTGGATGGCCAAATAGAAAGAAAGCCTCTGCACAGCCAGGCAGAGGGGAATTGCACACCCAAACCCTCACAGTGGTCCACATCGCTGCCCAGTCACACAGCAAATGCACACAGCAATGCCAGTGCCCTCCTCAGGTGGAGCTGAGCAGAGGGATTCTACTGCCTAGGAGTAAACAGTTACAGAGCCCAACAATGAGGTGTGGGTAATTGTCAGACTAAAAACATCCAGACGAGTGCGAGAGCACATGGAAAAGAGCATTCACATGTGACTAGAAATCCCTGTGAGAAAGCACACAGCAGTCCTGAGAACAAGAACACGTGTATGAGCAATGGCAAGAATAAAAAATGCACATCCAAGCATATAAATTATGAGAATAAGAGGGCAGTGGGGCAGAAGAGCCCATTCTGAGAGCAGAAGGATGGATCGCTCCAGGGTGCCCACAGTAACAGCAGCATGTTCCTGTCCTGGTTGTGCCACCCCTGCTTGGGCCCCTACTTGTGACACCATCGTCCCTTGCACACTGTGCAGGCCTCGGAGATGGCCTTGATGTTGTTTAAGGCAACACTCGTTCATGGCATAATATCATGAGTCCTGCTGGTAGAGCATAGCAAGGCCATGCCTTCCCAATTCAACCTTCCTCCTCTGCCACAGACACCAACAGCTTCAGGATGTGGTGGAGAGACCTGTGACCCTGAGCCCTTGGTGCATGTCCTGTCAGATCCTGCCAAGATAAGAGGAGACAGGAGTTCCTGGACACCTTAGACTGAAGCAGAGTAGATACGTGTTCAGCCCTGTGGGTCACAGAAAAAATTCAATGTTACGGTTGACAGAGTCTTTCTTTCCAATGCATGCCAGGCAACATTTGCCATTTGGCCACTTCCATCCCCATTGTTGCCAGCTGGGATGCACACAGAATGCAAAGGACCTCAACAGAACAAAAAGAGGGCTGATGAGAGAAACCAAAAGGCTAAATCTGCAAGGAAACTACCCGACCAGCTGGTCCTCACTGCACCTCTCTGAAGTGTTTCACAAAATCTGATTATCCAAGTGCAGAAAAGAAGCAAACTGAACGGAGAACTCATTCCAGGTCCAGGTCAGGTTCCGCAAAAGTTATGCAGAAAGCTGAGAAGGAAAAGAGCCTCAACTTTCCCATTATTCCACTCCAGCCAGGGCAATGCCAGCTGCCTCCCTGGGCTCTCATTTCCATTCCACATAATGACAAACCAGGTGGAGCTGTCTGAGCGTGAGGTAAAAATTAGTTTCTTAAGCTTCAGTGGCAGCAGGACGTGGACTACAGCGTAAGGTGGTCTAGTTCTATTAACCCTTGTAGGTGAAGCTGGGGGACTCAGATCCTTTTGGCAATGAGAGAGCAATCTGAGGAGGAAGGTTTGGAGTTCTCTGTGGTAAAATTCTTCCTTGTGGAAGAACTCCCCAAATAAACAAGCACATAAAACACACGTTCTTTTTTCCTTTTAAATGAATCATTTGTGCCCTGTCGGGAATTAAAGTTTTGATACCTAAATAAGATCACACATTCACATTTGGCCAGAAAGATACTCACTGGTTTTTAAAACCTAAAATAAAACAACAAAAACCCCCTTTGTTAGTGGAAATGAAACTCAACAGGTTATCGGTGGGACTAGCAAATGGAGTAGACTGCAGTAGGAGTAGGCAAATGACTGAACTAGATTTGTATGCCAGACAGCACATGGATGTATCAGAAATAAACTGTATATAATGCAGTGTTCAATGCCAGGTAATTAGCAATACAAGCAACCATTTTTAATGTAATTTTCATTCAGAAAACATCCCTTTAACTGACCAACACAACATAATCTCTGAAGAGGGAAGTTCGTGACCTTTGCTAATATGAAGCCTTTCTTTTAGCAGACTTTGCAATCCAGACCCTGGGATGTCCAGTATGAAGATTTGTTCTGTACGCTTTCAGGAAGCAGGATGAGATTTCTGCCCCTGGTAACTGCCCACCACCACTCCTTGAAGAGCAGCCTTTCAGCTCAGCAGAAGCAACACTTACCTGGAATATGATTGACATCTGTCGAGGTGTTTTCATGGCAAGCAGAAGGGAGAAAAGGAAAAGAGAGAGAGAGAGAAGAGAGAAAAGCCATTAGAGATGCACACAGCAACTCAGCATCCTTGCATGGAAATCAATTTCATGCAAAACCAAAAGTAATTAGGTTTGTTTGAAGGCCACCCATCTGCAGCCAAGCACCCAGCCATGCAAGGGAGGAGGCACTGGATCCCTCTCCACTGTGCATGTATAAGTGAATCCACCATCATATCTGTCCGGAGAGAGAGTTCCTGGAATCAGATAGACCCAAGCCACATCAGTTCCTGTAAGAATATTGGTTAAAATATTCTACTGTTTTTCACACACAAATGCAAAAGAACAAAACAAGAATCAACCTGCCTGCAGTAAGTTTCTATCGCACATAAATTCAAGCAAGTTTTCAGAAAAAAGAAAAGAACCTGCTCCCCTTTTACAAGGGGCCATGTGAATTTATGACCAGGTACAAGACACTCAACATAGTCCCAAAGTCTAGAAGAGAGTCCATTCCTTTTCATTCCTCCTGCCCATCATTCCCAAAACAACATCCTTCATTGCAGACAGCAGCAGGGGTGGGGGAGAAGGAGTGCCAGAGGCTTGCACACCCCACATGTTGTCATTTCATAAGATGCTGAATTCAGACCAAATGTCATTCAGTATTTTTTTTCTTTGTGACTTAAGTCCACTTTTCAGAATCAATCACATAAATCCCAGAATAAATTAGTCTTTTAAAAAAGAGAGGAGCAAGACTATGTAAGTGATAGCATCAATCACAGAAAAGGCATATCTTTGAATGTAGTGTCTGTTTTGGGCAGACCCCACCAATACCAGAGAATGTACTTTAAAAAAATGCCTCTCATAACTTTTTTAGCATCCCAAGATTAGTCTTGTTCTGAATAGCTACACTTACCATAACACCATGAGGGATGAACCCCTGAAATCTCATGGGATTAGACTAAATCAATATTTTCCTTCCAAGGCAGCCCTCCAAATGAAAAAATTAACTTGCCTGAGGAAACAGTGGAGCCAGGTCCATAGGTAGCCTTCTTCCCTGGAGGGTTGTACCTTGCCCAGGCATTGTGCTGCTGCAGGTATCACCTCTCCAGTAAGACTTCAAAGCAATACATTAACGCTTTGGACTAATACAGGTCCTGGACCACTTCTGCCACAAGTCTAGGAGCATGACATGCTGGGTGCTTGGGCTACACACCAAGGTCTAAGAATGTATTCTCCTTCCCTGAATATCCCCTCCAATTTTCATCAGTATTGCCCCTTCCTGTCCAAACCAGCTGCGTTGCTGTGAAACCGGCACCACTTGTCTTCCCAAGACACTTGCATTTCGGTGGTGAGTGATTCCTGTGCATGTTGCTTTTTATTTATCACTTTCTGTTGCTTTTTGCTTATCACTTTGTAATGACTCCAGAATCATTTGAGGAAAAGTCCCTGTGATACATCACACATATATCAAACCATCCTGCCCTAAGGAGGTAATAATCCAAACAAAGCAATGCACAAAGAGGGGAGGGACTGTTGCATCAACTCATTTAATTTCTGTAGCTTCTACTAAACATAGATGTCAGATCTGATGAGTGTTATTTGTTGCCTTTCCTCTTTTAACACGTAATAGTATCTAAGAACTAGTGTCTTGGCATGCAAGCCTGGAAGGACACTTAGCACTGAAAGTTTGCCTGAAAGTAATTACTTTTAGGTAGGAAAAGAAAACAAGTGTCAGGCAGCAATACATGCACTGAGGATGGAAGGCAAAAGGAGATGAGAGCAGGGGCAGAAGGAAGGAGCAGACCTTTAAACACCACTGCAGAATGAGAGCACGATGCCAAAGAATTTACAAGTCCACAGCTAGGACATGAGTTGAGGTGTTGCTTGGGAAAATCAGTGGCAGTCAGAGAAGATGGTCACACATTTCAGAAGAGTAAGAAGGGAGCAGCATAAGGTACTGCAAATGTTTCTGATAATCCAGCAGCTGCCCCAAAGCCTATTCTAAGCAGGTACAAAGCTCTAGACCCATGTTGTCCTCTCAGCCTCCCTGCACGCCTGACAAAGGAGTGGGCACAGCTGCAGCCAGGGCTACCCTGGGAAGCCCGGGAAGAGCAGGCAGCCTCACCAGTGTGTCTGTGCTCCAGGAGGAAATTTGTGGGATGTTCAGGGAATAAAAAGGATCAGTAGATAGAAAGGGCAAAGGAAAGAGCTAACCAAGGATGAGCAAGGGATAAACACATTAAGCAAATAAGAGGCAGTGGGCTGTAACTGATACACTGCTTGAAATAATACTTATTTAACTGTGCGTGAATTAAACAGGTCATGAAGCTGTTAAAAAGGGGAACAATGAAGTGTTAAGAGCTACAGAAGCATTTCTAAAACGTAGTTTCTCAATGGCAAGTAACAGGGGGCAGACAGGGAGAGGATTTCCTTTTACCCGTATTTTTTGGGATGTCCCTAAGAGCAGGCATCCCCAATCCTGACTGGTTTTACTCTTAGCTTTCTTTTTGCTGTATCTTTTTTGGAAAGTCTCCACCCAACATAATTTCTGTATACACTAGTTGCATCAGAAAAGTCACTGTTTGTATCTCTGCAACACTTTTGCAGTATTTACCCAGGTGGCAGCCCAGGTCATTAGTGTTACTTCCCATACTAAATACAAAGGGAGTTTCTCATATTGCAGACACCCCCCCATGTGGTATCTGCTGGCAAATGCTGATTTTCAAATGGTGAAAGTACTTGTTTTTTTATTTTAAAACACACATGAGAAAGCACTGCTTTCTTTGTGAAGACAAAAATGGTGTACAGCCAGTCAGTCCTCACAAAAGACCCTACAATAAATACCACCGTGGCATAGAGTTGAAATCGCCATGCAAGTCCTCACAGGAAACCCCGTAACACCTCTGCAGTGTGGTGTGCCAGTCCACTGTGGTGCACAATTAAAACTGTGGTTGCATATATCAACAAAAGGGACCCTTAATAAGAAACCTCTGATGCAGTACCTTAAGGCTGGTGGCTCCACAATTAGAAGAAATCTAATGCCTCAAGAAAGGTAGAAGACAGAGATGGCAAATAGGCAGAGTGACCAGATATGGGAGCTGAGTTGACTCTCCTTCAGACCCTGCCATCTGAGACATTCTCTCAAATTCTCTTCATGTTTTCCTGGTTTGTTTTCAAAAGGACTGTTTAAAACATGTCCCCACTCTCTTCCTTGTCCATCAGCACTACCTTCCTCCCCCCACAGGGACCTCCTACCTGCCACAGGGACTGAGGAGGTACAGCATTCCCCGATTAAACAGGGAGCAGGCAGAACCTATGGCTAACAAAAAGCCAGTGACCATGGGACTTACTGCTGTGCAGATGGAGGTTTCTCCACTTTCTCCAGCTCAGAGCACTTCAAACACAGAAAGGTCTGCCTCTTAACAAAACACAAGGCAGAGTTTGCTTTATCCTATACACAAGAGTCCATTTATTGCTCCTTTGTAAAGGGCTGAGCAGCAAGCCAGTGCTGTTTGCTTTTGTTCTTTGATGCTAATAGCTGGGTTGAAAGAGGGATCAGCAGGGCTGCTGCCTTTGTCTGGTGCAGCCCCAGCCATCTGGGTGGGGTGGAAGGGGAAGGAGGAGGATGAAGAGAAGCATGAGGAACAAAGCAAACATTATTATAGCTCAGATCATTCCCGTGCCTGTAGAGGAAACATCTGAGGTATTTTTAACTCTTAACATTTTTAACAAGAACTTTAGCAATAAGGGAAGGTGTTACAAGAGTGCACTTCTTTCTCCAATTGGAAGACAAGGACAGCACAGACTTTCTATGCACACCAGCCCTACCAGTACACATCCCCTTGACCTGAAGAGACCTGCTTTTATTCCCATCTCCTTGGCCCCTTCAGTCTTGTCCCCCGCTTTGATGGGCTGTGGACACCTGTCTTCTGCCAGCTAAACTGAGAGCCACTGACTGAATTCACACATCGCAAACCAGCTAGCTGGTACTGTGAGTCCCTCAAGCTCTCCGGCATCCCCCTCCAGGGCTCTCTGGTTACCCTCTCTCTGAACGCCAGTGTGTGGAGAGGACTGGGGAGCAGGCAGAAACTGGGGAGAAGAGGAGGAGGGCAAAAGTTATAACACTTAGAGCCATATTTTTGTCACAGCAGACCCACTCCCAAATAAGCAGAGATCCTGCCTTTAGACAGGAAAATTACCTTATTCTGAAGCTCATTTAGTTACCAACATCTAAAAAAGCTTTTCTAAAGCAGATTTGGCTCTCATCATGCTGCAAATACAGAAAATGGATATAGGTACAATTTCACTGGCAGAAGCATGACTGGTTGGGAACTCTCAGTTACTTACTTTGACTTACTGATATATATGAAAACAGTTCAGAGACCACAGATTGATGCATTTATGGCAGCCTGTGAAATGATGAAAAGATATGTGATGAGCCAGCCTGGGCTCTGGTGGTGTGGTAGTAAGAGATGCTGGTGACTCAGAACCAGGTGATTTCCTCTTAACTGAGCTCTGATGCAACATTTTAGCAATATGATGAAGAGCTGCATTTTGGCTGAGCTGGAAACCTTTCAAATTGCAATGAGCAAAGTCTTCATTAATTTGATACTTCATCAAACAAAGTGTTAATGCCAGGTGCTGATTTGGCAAGTGGTCTTATTCCATCCTAACCGGGTCTGTTAAGGTAAAGGTAAACATACGGTCCTGTTAAGGTAAAGGTAAACATATGGTCCTACTTCACCTCCTACGCCAAGCTGTTGGGGACCAGTGTTGTTGGTGCAAAACTGTACAGACTCCTTGTCTTTCTCTTCAGGACACAGTGGTTCAAAGCCACCTGGGAGGGTTACAGTGACATAAAAAGAAATAGCATTTACATTGTATAAACAGCTTCTAAAAACAATTTGCTTGGGTAAAGACGGGCTCTAGAATGAGATCAATTCCAAGCATTAGCACAACATCCCTGTAGTGCCCATGCTCACACAGGAGAC